CTGGGGGGATGGAAGGCTGGGCTTCCGATCAGACGGATAGTATCCGTATTCCAAGTCTCCAACCTGCAGAAGCAGGCGGTGGCGGGATTGTTGAGAAGAGAAAGAGAGGGAGCCGATCATGCAGCTGGCCAGAAATGGCTATAGCACTGGTCATGGTACCGTTAACCGCAGGCAATGGTGGTGTGTGAATAATAGTCCACCTCGTTCGTGATGCAAAGCTGGCTTCATTATCTTGATTCACGGTTGATAATTTCGAGGTTCCAATCATTAGTCACCTTCTCGATATGTTGAACCAGAGGAAGACTGGAATCCTCACTTCGGGTAGCGGGTCGGGCGGCTCGAGCCTTGGATCGAGAAATGGTTTTACGGCGGAGCGGTTGACAGGGCCAGTATGGAGAAGAGAGTGGATGAACTAGTTTGTAGTACGCACTGTAGTGTCAGCGTAGTATGTCTTAGTGTCAGCGGTCAGAACGAATGAGTGCCCAAAGCCCGCCACGCATTCCTGCCCAACAACATCGTCAATTCTCTTTCTGACTGGCTGACAGCTTTTTCGGCAACGGCAAACCTTGACTGGTCGCTCAGGTACATGGATTGGACGCCCAGGGTTTGTTTCTTGAGGCGCCTCTTCGTGTCAGTCACAATGAGCTTTGAGTGGCAAGTTCACCGAAACACTGTCTTTCAGGATCTACAAAGTGAGTTTGATGGCTGATGTTGCAGTCTACAGAAGAGACGAACAGGAATTTAAATAAATAAATAAAAAATAGAACGAAACGGAAAAAAAGAGAGGCGTAACATGCTCTGTGTCACTCAATAATAAGATGAGAATATACCCGGTTCTTCCATGGCAAGAAATCACTGACTTTGGGAAGTTATCCATGGGAAGTCGTAGTAGTACTACCGTCTTCCTTGCTGCGTACGTCTCCTGCTGTCTTACTTGAGCAGTTATGAAAGTCATGGAAGACACCGCCCCTGGATGGGTTAATTCTACTCTGTAATTCAGTTTATGCTATGACTTAGTGATTCTTTTTTAAGATGTCGAGTGTTATTGACTCTTTTTGCCTCACTATAAGAAAAAAAAAAAAATGAAGCAATAAGTCATGTCATTGCGTGGTGGAGAGAAAAGAGAGACAAGAAACAAGTGGGTGAGGCTGGCGCAGGCTGAGAAAAGTGCTCTTGATGGACGGTCTCGGTTCAGCTTACCACTTGGTACTTACCCATGGTTCCTTCGATGGGTCCAAAAATCCGACGAAAAGAGAAGCCTACTGATCCAGTAGGTAAACAACAGATTCATTAACTATATGATCACCGTTGGAGGGATACTCCGTACTGATCGAGTTCATAATAATGGAATAGGGAAAAAAAAAAGAATGAAACTTTACTCCAGAGAAACTCTTCGATTCAAATAATAGTTCTTTTAATTCTGGATTTAAATCTTTCATATTTAAATTTCTCCCCCCTCTTCTCACCCAATAAATGAAGAAGCACACGGCTAGGGACAGGAAAATCATTCAGATTTGCAAGCCCTATTCGTCCAAGCCGATCCTTCAACCGCTTCGAATGTTCTGCTGAAGGGAAGAGTGGAGTCAATCGTGGCACCAGACAGAAGGCCAGCAGCAGCCCAAAACCGGCCCAACAGCCCAAATAGCCAACCGCGCGGCGTTCAGTCCATTTTGCATTCAGTCCAATCCGAGCACAAACAAACCCACAACCGTCTTTTCTTTTTCCTCCCCACCCTCCACTTTTCGCCTTCTTATCTCCCCGTGCGCCTGTCTGTCCATTTTTCTACCGTCGCTTCCTCGCTTTTCTTCCTCTTTTCCTTTTTTTCCTTTTTCCCTTTCCCTAATTCAAGCCCACCCCTGGCATCTCCCCGCCAGCTCGAAAAGAAAAAAGAGCCCAAAAGTATACAGGAGTGCTTGGAAAGAGAAAGAGGAAGAGAGTCATCATCAGCGACGGACTGCCCCCACTTAGGATCGGCCCCCTTATCCCCTCCTCACCTGAAACCCTTCTCTCTTCGCTTGTTCTTAGGTTCGCTTTCTTTTCATTTACTCTTACAACAACTCATCCTACACCCATCATCTCGACTCTCTCCGGTCCTGTCGTTGCCGTTCGGATACTCAACCTGAGGAGACTAAGAATCCCATCTTGACCCCCAGTCTTTCATACGACTACTGTGGGCAATAACTGTCACCTGGATTTCTTTCTTTACTCTCTCAACTGGTGAAATATTCCAGAGAGATCATTCTGGTGGACTCGCTTGCACTTAACACCTTGTTCTCTGCATCGTGGGTGTTTTTGTCAACCAAAAAGTTCCGGTTTAGCCTTGATTATCATCAGCCTTGGAGTTACCTGGACGCACTCTCTTCTTAGAGCTGTACTTGTGCTGTTTCTGCTTCCAAAACAACCCCCTCCCAAAGGACATCATCTCCCATCACTGGACCTTTTTTCAACTCCATAACCTTTCCGGATTTCCTGGATCTCCTGGTGCCCATTTGGATCCCTTGGCTTATAGTACCTTAATACTGGACCTATTCCCTGGACAAAATGACTGGACGCCTTGGATATGAAGGACGCCCGGAGCGTCAGAACGAGTATTTTATTCCCGGTGATGGAATCAGCCGGGAAGTGATCCAAGCAGACATATGCCGTTACCTTGGAAATGATGCTCTCGTAAGACCTGGAAACCACCAAGTGTGTCTCCCGATATTTCCTTAAAAAATGACTGCCGAGAATCGAATCGGTCCAGCAATGGCAAAATGAGCCATTCGTTGTAACCCCGTTACTGACTGGATGTGAAAACAGGGCCGCCAGGGCTACTTTATCCGTGCTTATAGAAACCTCACCTCAGTAAGTGGAACGATGCGGGGCTGAGCCTTTGTCTTCCCCCTTTGCCTCAGTATTATATCGGAAACTGACCGGGCATCGTATTGCAGGAAATGATTGCTGATCTCAAAGCTGACTCTGCTCGGTGGGAGGCAGATGTGCTCCGTCGCGCTGACCAAGGCTATCCACGAGGTAGTTACATTCAAGACTACAGTGTGTCTCAACCACCACCTAACATGGTTCCAGCAACCTATGCAGCTACCTCAATTCATGAAGGGCGACAGCAGCCGGGTCCATCTCCTCCACCTGCCTACACTGCACCACCACCCCAGCAATATGTGGATCCTTACACTCAACCCGCTTACGGGCAGACACAGAGTCCCCCTTATCCAACTTCTTCCTCATACCCTGCAAACCACTCACCCTTTGGATCTGGCCAGACGTATCCTCCCCCGCAGGTTCCTTATTCTGCACCTAGCCAACCCCCAGTGTCTGCCGACATGCATCAAACATATACATACACCAGCGCCGCTGGCTATGGCTACGAAAATGGGAGAAACAACCCAAGGTACCCTGGGCCTGGTTATGAAACAGAATCGGACTATTCCCCTGTACGTCCGGAATAGCTTACCCTGCTACCACCGCCCCAGACCCGCGGATAGGAGGAATGGATCCCAGATATACCCCGGAGTCGGCATACTCGGACCGCAGTAGGCCACAGCCAACAAGGGAAAGAGATCCAGCCCGCCGGCGGTAGATGAAGGATGCTTTTCCCTTTTATTTGTCTATGAATCCCAGGGGTGTAGCTTCAATTCCACCTTTTGTCTCGGGAGAACTTCGCCTTGGGAGTATAAAATTCTGCGCAATCCTTTTTTTCAAACTTCCGCCCCCACCTCCAGCATCTATACGGATTAGATGCCTTTTCTTCTTGACCTGTGAAACACCAGGTCAAAAAACATGATGCTTAAGCTGTTGAGACCAAATTGCAGTCTATTTGGAGCCATACCTTAGGAAACCCGGATCTCGTGTTTGACCTGGATGCCAATCAAGTTATCCTTGGTGGTTGTGTTTTTTTTTTTCTTTGCTCATGAAACGTCTCCATCGACGTTGGCTGGTCGTTACCTGTTTCTTTTCTTCTCCTTTCCCTGCTTGACCTGGCTATTGCTACCGTTAAAAGGGTCAGAAAGCATTAATAATGTGAACATTGACTGGCTTTGGGGGCTCTTGCGTGATGGGTTATGAAAAGGTGGCTTTTTTTGGCTATGTTGTAATGCCCGGTGCTGGTCTTGATTGTTCCTGTTATTTTGCCTCCAATCTCCACCATTGGAAACCTATTCCCATTTTTTGCGATTTCGCGGTGTACTGGATGTGATCATTTGTTGTTTGTCTGCCTTTTTACTTTCCATCCTGAGAGGTACTTTTCTGTTTTTTCTCGACCGTTTCTTCCAAAGTGAGGAGTCTGCAAGGAGCATGCGACTGATTCTGGATTCCATCAGCTTAGGAGCTTTGATGATATACAGTGATGCTGTTCATGAGCTATATGTAGATATGAGCATATATGGCGTTATTCTTTGTCCATTCAATGGCTTTAACCCTGGAGGTTTTCCAGAACCGTTCAATAACTGATGTTTGCCAGTCGGCTCAGATTATGACCATTCTTCTGCTTTGTTAACCAAATTACCTTTTGGACTCCCACTCACTGCCTATGGGTGCCATCATTCTTGGTGACTATACCCATTCAGTCTGACGCTTATCTCAATCATGAATCTGTGATACCTCCTGGACGATCTGGGTCTCTATATGTTCACAAAGTACAGCTGTATACATCTCTATCCACATGAACCAGGCCTGAAGGAAGTAGCTGCTGTGTTCATTATTGCTGGCCATGTTATCTCCATGCACATTAGTTGTCATTTGTTTACACCCTGGAGAGTCATGGACGCCATGGCGATCGGTGAGAGTATTGTGAAACACAGCAACAGAACCTCACGGTCTTTGACAATACATTTTGTATCTCGTCCATTCCTACCTTTTTTCACAGATAGTCAAGGCACCTCATCTTCGCATTGTATCTATCCCTTACCTTCCGTTCCGCTTCTTAGCCTCTGCCTTTTGCTATTCCTGCTGGGACATATGCCCTTCGGGTCCTTCTCGGCAGTTAAGTCTGCTGTCTTTCCAGAATGGAGTCAAAATTTCCACAATTTGGAGCTGGTGACGTAAACATAACCATATATGAGGATGTTTATCGGCTACATTCTACCGTACTCAAAACCCGTTCGCGTGAGTTGAGAGACCTACTTTCATCGCTTGGATCGTATGGCATTGGACACTTCGGCTGTGTGCAACTTGAACTGGTGGAATCGACATCACATGGATACGGAGTGCTTGAGGTTCTGGTAAGTTGTCGTGATGGACCATCAGGACTTGCGGCGCTAATGGCTCCGTCGAACACCAGGACCCAGATGATCAATATCGTTATGGCCCCATGTATATGCAGCTCCAGAAGCCCATAATCATGTGGCCTCCAGAAATCCGTCTCCTTTGGGCTAACATGTTCAAGATCTTGTATGACCTCTGTCCTTTATTAGACCAGGGGGGTCTCCAGAACGTCCTATGCCGCTGCTGGGATCTAGTCAATCTAGCCGACTGCCTTAGAGCCACCCGCACGGTATTTCCTGCCATCGTAGATGCTCTCCAGGAACTAGGACCGCATTTCTATGCTCTCATCGCCGAGGATCCGATCAATTGGATAAAGCTGGGCACTTATATGCGATCGGCGCTGATCTTCAAGGAAGCAGCAATCCACATCATCGGCAACTGGAACGCTCTAGAAGACGACCTCGACTATCTACCGAGCGTCGTCCACGAGTTATGCGAGAGCAAACAAGCGCAGCTGGTCGAATTCAAGCAAGGACTTGAGGCTCGCATGCTCACCTGTTGCCCCTACACAACACTCCCTATGGTTTCGTGCACCGAAGATATGGTCACCCCCTGTATGAAGGACTTTGGGATGTGGACGGCAATGACTTACTATAGCCAGTGGTTTTGTATGGCGGTCGCCGAAAACCGCACCTATTATGCTCGTGACGGTGGTGCCGCTTTCTATCGCGCCATCTACGCCGGTGGCGATGCTTACCTAGATACCGAGGAACAGGCAAATACGAACGCTTTTCGCATGAGTGCGTACAGGGCCATGATGCTTGATAAAGCCCTGAACATCCTCAAAGGTGAAATGAGCAAGTTTGTTTCTGTTTTGTTGATCAACGAAAGCCACTATGATCCTGGTCTTATGGGAGAACTACCGTACCTGACGTGCTGCAAGGTTGATGATGAGGAACTCCCCTGGGTCACTTGGCCCGATGGTGATTGGCATGTTGACAGTGACGAGGAGCTTTTCTTATCGGACTACGAAGCTGTGACAGATGATAATGATGGCGGAGATGATGATATTACCGAGCTAGAAGTACCACTGCGGAGGCTACTTCGGCTGATACAAGTGGAACGTTTGCCACTGACACTTTGTCTGTCGATACGGACATTACCGACGTTGAATCGATCGAAATCGAAGATGGAAACGAGGCTGAAGACAAGAACGCTTCTGTTGTGGACGAAGATGAAGAGATGATTGATGACCGCTGAACACGAACAGCACTACTGACTTGGTAAATTTGCTTGCTTGCATACTTTGGGATACCCGACACCGGTCATATATTGAATTAGTATTACCGAGTCACAGGTGAATAGCCGCCCCGACTACTACCATAGGATAGGAAACAAATGGCATTATTCACCGCTCTATAATCATTTTCCTGTACAATACACAGCAGTCACGCTGACCATCAAGCCCGTAGGCCGTGAGGGTATAGAGACGATTGATAGGGGCAATGGCAAGAAGAGCATCTCGAGCAATCCAGAAGCCATTGATCCGGATATCAACCCAGAACGACACAAAAACTCCGGCCCAGCCTCAGGCGGTGTAATCGGAGATGTCCGACAGAATAGGTAGGTAGTCTTTTGAATTGACTCGAATTCCCAGCTAAATACACCAAGTAAAAAATCAAATCTGAAAATCGACACGGACTCCATTCATAGTCTCCGGCGGATTTACTCGTCATCGTAGCCCTGCGGGATAACCCGGGGTCCCTGGGGAACTATGTCAAGTCAGCCAACCATGGCTCAGGAAGACCCGGAAACAGGAGACAGAAAGAACACGGAACGATGCAGAGATGAACTTACTGGGATATGTGAGGGGGATGGGTTCCGGGTCAACGTCGCCGAAGGCCCGTCTGATCGGGGGGAGAGTCACCAGCATGACGGGGCCCATGGCACCAACGACAAGCGAGTAGAAGATAGCGGGCTTCTCATGAGAGGCCCAGCGAAGGTAGCGGAGAGGCGTCGACCAGAATTGAGGGGTCGTCATTGTGATAGGAAACGGGTAGGAAGTAGTCGGACGTTAAAAGAAACTTTTCGCCGGAACGGTGGTCGCGAGACGGTTGGAGCAGACGGTACTGGCGGGAGTAAAACGAACAATGCACTTGATTGAGTGCAATTGGTTAACCGTAGAACTGAGCGATTCCCGGGGTCCAGGGAAAGGCAATTGGGGGGTTGGGTGTGCGTGGTTGAGACGTGCGACGGGGAGAGGGGAGGTTGAAAGTGACGAAAGTCCGGCAATGCAATGCGCCCGTCAATTCCAAAGCGGCGACCAAGTCTTGGCATTCGGTCCAAACACGTCGCCCGTTTACATACTCATCGATCTTCATGACAACTCCGGTTCAACCCCAGCTTTGATTTCGCATTCCCTCTGCTGATCCTTCGCCGTCGTTCTTTTGTTCCGCTGCGCGGATCCCGATAAGATGCGGTGGTGTCTTTCCTTACTGCTGTTCGGCTTCTTGGCTGTTGTACATGCGTTGAGTAGTTCGGGAAGCCGTCTACTGGTTGTCCTGGAGGATGAGGCTGAGAAGGACGCTTATTCTACGTTCTGGGGAGATCTAGAAGGTGAGGTGCAGTTGACAGGTGGGGGCAATTGATGCTAATTGTCTTACAGCTCGGGGATACAACCTCGCTTTCGAGTCGCCCAAGAGCGACAAGCTTTCCTTGTTTGAGCTCGGGGAGAGAGCTTATGACCATGTCCTCCTCCTTCCTCCTCGGTCGAAAGGTTCGCAGACTGTCCCACATTGAAAATATGATCTGGTTCATAGTGCAAATCAATTGACTCATGATGCAGGCTTTGGACCTTCTTTGACCCCCAAGAACCTCATCGAATTCATGAACAAAGACGGCAACGTCCTTCTCGCTCTTTCCGGCAAGTCCACCACGCCCAGCGCAATCAGCTCGCTCCTGTTGGAACTCGATCTCCATCTGTCGACCGACCGTTCCTCCGTTGTCGTCGATCACTTCAACTATGACAAACTTTCTGCCGATGAGAAGCACGATGTTCTCCTTCTCCAGCGGCCCGGTCAGTTGAGAAGTGACACCAAGGCTTTCTTCGACGGCGAGGGCGTTTTGGCTTTCCCAAGGGCCGCCTCCCACACTCTCGGCGAGTCCAACCCACTTCTTACGCCTATCCTGCGTGCTCCGGCAACTGCCTACAGCTACAACCCGAAGGAGGATGTAGGTTCGGTCGAGGATGTTGTGGCTTCTGGGTCCCAGCTGGCTCTTGTTTCGGCCATGCAAGCCCGGAATTCTGCCCGCTTCACTCTTCTGGGCTCCGTCGAGAGTCTCCAGGACACGTGGTTCTCCGCCACCGTCAAGGCTCCTGGTGACGGGAAGGAGTCTGAGACTGCTAACCGTGAGTTTGCCAAACAGCTGACCGCCTGGACCTTCAAGGAGACTGGAGTCCTCAAGGTTGGCAAGATTGAGCATCATCTCGCCCAGGATGGTGAACTAAACCCTAAGATCTACCGGATCAAGAACGAAACTGTATGTCACGACCGCCCCACAATTGTAAAATATCGCTAGTAATGAGCTGACCAACCTCTTCACAGGTCTTCAGCATTGAAGTCTCCGAGTACAGTTATGACAAGTATGTGCCGTTCGAGGTCCCTGAGAATGACGCCCTTCAGCTCGAGTTCACCATGCTGTCCCCCTTCCATCGCCTCGACCTCCAGCCTTCCACCAAGACGGAAAACAGCACCATCTACAGCACCAAGTTCACCGTCCCCGACCAACACGGTATCTTCTCCTTCCGTGTCAACTACAAGCGTCCCTTCCTCACCAATATCGAGGAGAAGCACGAGGTAACTGTCCGCCACTATGCTCACAACGAGTATCCTCGCAGCTGGAAGATTAGCGGAGGATGGGTCTGGATCGCTGGTCTTTGGTCTGTTATCGGCGGCTTCCTGGCCTTCGTCATCGTGTGGCTCTACTCTGCGCCCACATCTACTGCTTCGACGACGAAGAAAACGCAGTGAATAATGTATTGTATCACCGATGATCGCCTGAATGAATTGTCATTGCATGATTGTTAGACTGTATATATCTTTCTTTTACACACCGTAGAAATAAACGCTAGAGACAGATTGTGTCCTTGTTACACCTTTTACGTTTCCAGTGGTCTGGGTTACGATAGTTTGCAGGCCATCATGATAGGCTTGTAACCTATCGATAAGGCAAGGTCCAACTTGATCTCTTCTCACTCTCTAGCTGATCAAATTAGAAGTCTTCCGCATAAGTCAGCTCTTTTACGCTATGCTTTTCTCCTTTGTGATGGCTCCCAGCATATGTCACTCGTCGTCATCCTCGTCCGGAATGCAAAGCGTGCTTTGCCCCAAAGGGCGTGGGCCGTCTTGTTAAGGGTCATCAGATTCTTGTGTCTCGGTCCCGTCTCTCCCAAAAACCGCCTCATGCCAGTTTTTGGTTCTCCCGGGAGACCAAAACAACTTAAGCGTACTCCAGAAGACGTCATGCGCATCTTTTTGTTGGTGACGGATACCAAACGGGCGGCCAAAGATATGGGCAGTGTCATTGGGCTCGCCTGCTTTCGTGACAATGCACTTGTCCTGATCACTCTTTGAGCGAACCGCATGATTAGCCGATGGGCCCAGCATTGTACCACGATGACCTACCCTCAGAGTTGCCTCGACAGAATCATTGTAAGAATGTTGACCCTGTGATGCGGACCTTGTATTCCCACCCGCAGGTCTCTCGGACTCCATATCCCGCTCATCATCTTTTTTGCTGTTTGGTTTCGGAATTTCAATAGCCCTGGAATACAAATAATAAGTTCCTTCATTATCTGCAAGGTATTTGGGGAAATGCATACAGTCTTTGACCACTGGGAAGAGGTCTGTTCTGAGATTATTTTGGGCCATCACCCTGCCGTAAGCTATACTGGATTTTGAACGATGGCGTCTAGAGCACTTAGATCTGCGAGCCACACGAATGCCCACGCAATAGAGTCCACTGAGCTTAGCTCATGGATGTCAAATCGCTCACTTGAGGGAATGCACCGACAGGGGAGGGAGTAGGGCTGCTTGAGCCGGGCTTTTGGCACGGCTCAGGGCTGGCCTGGTGGGACGGAGGACAAAACATGATAGACAAGGAGGTACTTAGAGCAACTCAAAGTCTGCTTGACAAAGATATCAGAGCACGGTGGGTTGTCGAGGGCGGGGGTGGAGGAAGAAGAAAGGGTAGGCAGACGAGGAGGAAAGAGAAGGAAGGCACAAGACTGCCGTCATATTCACAAGCCTACCTACCTACCTCGTCAATGATACTTCATAGTCACCAAATGAATCTGTCGTAATCACATTCACCTCCATCTGCCACATCTAATCAACTACCTCATTGATCCCATTGCAACGAGACAGTTTTCGTGATGGTGAAAAATGGCCAGTATTTTTCCCCGGCACATGGCGATCTGAAGCCCGCTAATTCTGCCCTCTATATCCTGATATATGAAGCAGGTGTCACTTAGCCCCCGAGTAACAACCCCTTATTGCTCATTCGAACTGCCGTACCATACGGTGCTATCAAAGTCAGTTGGCTAAAATCGTATCGAACAGATAAAACACAGACCAATGAGAGGGATATTAACACCAGTTTGTCCCATATTCACTGTAGGTTGAGGGTCTGATAGAGTTAATATTCAGATGTAGTAATGGAGGGACACAGGTGTAAAGGGGAATGGCCACTGTTTATAGCGGCCATTTTTGGTGATTTCGGAGACCGCAGTGAGGTGGTATGGGAAGCTTGCATTGGTCGGTCTCAAGACGGCGTGCCTGGAGGTATAGCATGGTAGAGATTAATGCTATAACAGCCAAAAACAGCGGCGTCAAAGTCTTCTAGTTTATTATAGCATACATATACTTTACTACATTACTCTAGCTATAATATACTAAGATATAAATCACTCAATATTCTAATTATCAGACCATTTCAATTTTCTATATAAATACAGATTTTCGGTATTTTTAATAGCTTCATTTCTAGGAGACGCGAAAAATCGCGTGGATTGGGCAGTCAGCTCATAGAACTTCACTGATTTGATCACGTGATTGGATGTTCACTCCATATATTAGTCATCCATCCATTCCCACTCAAATTCTGCCACACTCCACAGCGCATATGGTTAGAGGCGACTTAGGCGGTGATGATCACTTTACCACAAGGATGTACCCTACCACTAGTGCCTACCTATCTTAACGTTGCTAGGAAAGTCGGTGGACCAAGTAGATGTGCATTTGTCCACCACTTTCCCCTTGGGCAAATTTTCTCTCCCAGTTATGAGGAATCGTGATGATAAATCCGAGCAGAATGGCGTTTGCCACAATGGCCTGATACGTACCCCTCACCAATCTCATGCAGCGTCCCACAGTAGTTCTCAAAATTGGTAAAGGTCTGGCGCCTAGGTCTAGCCCAACAGAACCGAAATGCGCCACAGCGTAGGACTATACCATTGAAGCTCCACCAATGGCGGCGTATTGCTCATCTTTTTCCGTGCTGACGTGTACCTTGGTATCAGGTCTAGTCCTGGAGCAGAGAAAGGCAAACGTCTTCCTAGCCTTTGACAGCCACCCACTAGGTGGTGTTAGAATTGACGAGCTTCGTAGGTAATGGTGGGTTCTCCTAGTCCTGGAGAAGAGCCTCTGGAACTATGGTTCGGAAGGCTAGCTCTTGACAGCTACCGAGTTACTACCGTGGAATAGCCGAATAGTCACCGGATATCTAGGGCTTGCGAAATCTCATGTTAGTCCGCTTGGAAGCGAGCTGGGTGGCGTAGGGTGTGTTTTCGCATGTTCACATGCATTGCTGTGTTTTTGTTGGGAATGGCTTGTGTCGGCTCTTGTGCTCTGCTTTGTTAGGTTTTTCCCCCTAACGTAGTGGATCCGGGAACCAAGCGCTGGGGTGCTGGGATGCTGGGATGCAGTCGGAGGTATAGGGGTCATGGCGAATGAAAGAACCCTGGAGAAAATTTAGTGGTGAGAACTGGCCTGCATGTAATACGTTTGGTGTGGCCAAGGGAAAGAGACACTTCTCTCGGTTCGTTGTAGGAACGTTCTGCCCGCGGCGGCTGTAAACTCCATCGTCGCGTTCCTCTGGCCAAGGAGGGTGTCTGATTGTTGAGGTGACCATGGCGGGGTTCTCATAAACCGTGTAATGGTGGCTTCAATCTGTGACGCTCGATATATGTGATTGAGAAGCGAGGTC